GCTGTAGGAGGGGGAATGGGAGTAGTAGTGGTAGTGGTAGTGGTAGTGGTAGTGGTAGTAGTAGTAGTAGTAGTAGTAGTAGTAGTAGCAGTAGCAGGAGTAGGAGTAGGAGTAGGAGTAGTAGTAGTAGTCGTAGTAGTAGTAGCAGGGGGTGGTGGTGGTGGTGGTAATGATAATAATGATACTAGAACAGCAATAGTCGCGGTCGTCGTCGTCATTGTCGTCGTCGTCGTCGTCATTGTCGTCGTCGTCGTCGTCGTCGTCGTCGTCGCGCTTTGAAGAACACCTGCCGGAACTCGCGGTTAAACTCCCCGAAGCTGATACCCGAAATCTGCAGTTCGCCATGAAGTTGGACTCCTCTCGTGGAAAAAGACTTGATGCAAAACGTGTACTGTGCAACAGCAAGATGGCATGCGCACAAGTCATGCAGCGGTGACAACATCGTCACTGGATGTTGGAAGCCCAAACACCCAAACATCGTGTAACATGCGCTTGTATGTCCGTGAGGTTCAGTCCGCTGACCGGGCCTCTTCCCGACAGGAGCTCTTTGGGGCTTTTCTTGCAGACTTCGAGATTCTTTCGTCGCAAGCCCACGGAAAGAGTAGGGATTTGGATGTGCGGGTAGAGCAACAACCATCTGTGGCAACCCACAACCTTGAACAGTTCAGCTCGAAGCTCCGAAACATTAAAGCCCTGCATTGGACCCGGGACACCCGGGCAGGGCGTTCTGCCGACCCACAGAAAAGATGCAAGAGATGGAGAAGGGCATCAAAGAGGCCGCGCCATGCCACGCCTCAATCTGCCTTTTCTTCCTGAAGTCAAAATCCCCACAAAGTCCCAAAGCAGCCACTGGGCTGCATTCAATCTTGTTCAATTTGCCTTGTGCCAGACCCTGGCCAGCTTTAGCCTGAGCCACGTAAAGTTCAAGAACGGTCTGCGCCGGGCTCGGATTCGGGACACCGCGCCTGAGTGCGCCCGAACGCGCCCGAAAGTGCGCCGTTCTGTGACCGACAGGCACTCTGACCTCGTCAAGCGAGAGATCCGATGGTGCAATGGCTTCTTTGCAAAATGTGTGTCTTTGGATTACTCAAGGGCCAAACTAGCTGCAGATGGACCTTGTGCAAAAACGTATTTTCCTTCAGTGGTCTGCGGGATTGTTTGCACGTGAGGTTTGCTTGCTGCACTCGTGGCAGCTTTCACTGCGCCGGAAACTCGATGCTACCGGGACAGCGCCGTCGGTGACGTAGGGTACTTGAGTTCCCCGGCTTACCCTTTGAGGCGGGACTACCAGCAGGAGGTTATGCAGCAGACAGACAGAAAAGGCAGGGTCCTTACGTCCGTTGCACTGGGTGCTGCGCTCCGTGTTTTGGAGGTTTGGCGGCCTTGGCAGGGGGACTCAGAGCTCAGCTAGCGGCTCGGCTAGCGGATGAGACCTGTCAGAGAGATCAGGTGAAATCCGTGCAGGAGGCGGTGCTGCCGAAGCACGGCCTGGCAGCAGAGGCCGGTGCCGATGGTTTTGAGCGGTGCACACTTGGTGCACACGTAGAGTAGACGGGGCCGAAGAGCATGCTCTTTGGGGTCTGCGGATAAGTCGCTCGGCTCCAAACCCCTCAGTCATCTCTTTCGAGGGTCGCGGATTGGCAGGACTACGAGTGGAGAACCATTCAGTGGAAGCTTTGGTTCTACGGTCTCTTGGACGACAGCAACGTCAGGCCATGGCCAGCGGGGCATTTCCTGTCTCTTCATGCGCAGATGTGCCCACAGGTTGGCCAACGAGGTGATGCTGGCATCGCAAGTCAGGAGCCTCGACAGGCAACCAGTACTTGACGCTTCGAGGGTTCTAACTTCGGTTGATTGCTCACGAGGAGCGCAATTCTGTTCTGCCCCGCCCAGGATATGCGGCCTGCTGCCATGGAAGAAGGCGGGCTCAGAGGGACAGGAGTCCTGCTGTGTGAGCAGTGCTACAGCATTTTTACCCGTTGGGCGGATATCGCACAAGCCCGGATAGCCCGGCTCAATTCTTCCTTTCCCGGGGCCTGCATCCAAACGTCGTGGCCAAGCATGGCTTTCAGGAGCCTGTGCTGCAGCCTGCTGCTCTCTGTCATGTTGAGATCGGCCTCTTCCGCCAAGTGCCTCTATCCAGGGGGCGAGTGCTACGAGCTGATGATGCAGAAGTGTGAGGGCTCGGCGAATTGGACCATTCATGGATTGTGGGCCGAGTGGGACAACGAATGTCCGGGATCGGCGTTCAACATCAGTGCCTTATCGCCGCTCCGAAGTGAGCTTGATGCGAAGTGGTCCTCTTGTCCTGAGTTCTCCATGAAGAACGAAGATTTCTGGAAGCACGAGTGGGAGAAGCATGGGACGTGCTCGCAGATGGACGAGGTCAGCTTCTTCAACAAGACCCTGCAGCTTTATGCCAAGTACAAAAAGAAGTGCAGCAAGAAGACCGGCAAAGACTGCACCGTCTGCTTCAACAGGAACCTTACCGCACTGGAGACCTGCCCTGGCCCTTCCCAGGATCGCTTCGTGGTCTGAGTCGAGTGCTGCTTGGGTGCTCGATCACAAGGGGTTGAAAGAGGTGCTGCCAATGGAGAATCCGTGGTAGAGGTAGGATTGTCGTTGAGAGTTGCTGAGGCCCAAGGCTTTTCCGCCAGCCCTGCCGCTTAACGAATCTCGACCACCTCAAGCACCTCGGGTGCGTGAACCCTGGATCTGGTGATGTCGACGGCTGGAGTTGCCCTTGCAATCCTTTTGCATATCAGTCGCTGTACGCCTCCTAGCACAGAGATGCCAAGGCAACTCCAAGCTGTCTTCGACTTTCGCCAAATCAGTCTTGTGTTTGTCGGAACGAGGACGAAAAGGGGCGAGGTCTTGCAAGCAAAGGGCCGGTGTGTGACGGAAGTCGCAGCTACTGATGAAGCATCCCGCCCTCCCTATACTTAGACCGTCCAGAGTCTCAGGCAAAACCGAAAGAGCAGCCGGAAGCTCTGCATCACTTTCTGTTCGCTGCTCTGGTCACTAGCCGCAGGAGATTCATAATGCCCTTGACCCCTAGCTTGCATTAAGTGCTTTCCTAGGCCCAAAGTGGAGCTAGTGGATGAGGAGGAAGAGGAGGAAGAGGAGGAGGAGGAACAGGAAGAAGACCATGAAGAGGAGCAGGATGTGGTGCAGGAGACACAGCAAGATGATGAGGAGGAGCCGGTTTCAATAGAGGAGGAGGAGGAGGTGGAGATAATTGAGCCAGAGGAGGAGACGCAGCAAAGGAAGGCTGCGGAAGAGGCAGCGCGACAAGCTGAAGAGGCAGAGCGAAGGAGGGCAGCGGAAGAGGCAGCCAGAAAGAAGGCAGCAGAAGAGGCAGCGAGGAGGAGAGCAGCAGAAGAGGCAGCGCGAAGGAAGGCAGAAGAGTCAGCGCGGAGGAAGGCTGCTGCAGAAGAGTCAGCGCGGAGGAAGGCAGCAGAAGAGGCAGCGCGAAGGAAGGCTGCAGAAGAAGCGCGGAGGAAGGCCGCAGAAGAGGCGGCGCGAAGGCAGGCTGCAGAAGAGGCAGCGCGGAGGAAGGCCGCGGAAGAGGCAGCGCAACAAGCTGAAGAGGTAGCGCGAAGGAAGGCTGCAGAAGAAGCGGCGCGGCAAGCTGAAGAAGCGGCACGGCAAGCTGAAGAGCGCAGAAGGGCCGCGGAAGAGGCAGCACGACAAGCTGAAGAGCTGGCGCGAAAGAAGGCTGCCGAAGAGGCAGCCCGACAAGCAGACCAAGAGGCGCGACGGGTCGCAGAGGAGGCTGCGAGGGCAAGGGAGGAGAAAAGGATCGAAGAGATCGTCGAAGCAAAGCCCGTTCCGGCTCAGGCTCGCCCCCCGGGGGGTGTTTTCAGCAAGGAGGCTTTGGTCTCGACTTGGATGGATACAGCAGTGGCTGCCGTTTTCTTTGGGTGTCGGCAGGCAAAGCGAAAGACAAATCATCGCGAGGCCTCCAAATCAAGGGGAAGATTTCCCACACAGTTGAGCTTCTTTGGCATGTACCTTTGCTTGGCTTGGCAGATTCAATTGCTGCAGGAATCAAGGCACAGCCGGCGAAAGGCGGGAAGATGATGTACAGCAAGGGCTACCAGAAGCAACTGAAGAACACCCTCTAATATCCTACAATCCCATACAATCTTAGACTTTGGACGTGCAGTACGTGTGCACCGCTTGTGCCAGGCGTCATCCATGGCGCCTCCGCCCGCCAAGTTCCCAGTGCGTACGGTGAGCATGAAAGCTTCTCTATCCAAGTGCAATGCTGAAGAACTCCCAAGACTCCATAGACTATAGAGCTTACCTACCTATGCATCCGCTCAGGTGCCCTCAAGGGCCAAAGCAAAGGCATCGCGGAAGCGGAAGGCAAAGTTCGGTACAGATCGGCATCGTGCACATCTTCGAAGCAACCCCTTTCCCCGTTGAAGAGAGGGTGCAGAATTTCTGTGTTTTTTGTTTGTTTGTTTTTTTTGCTGCGGGGGCCGGCCACGCCTCTGGGATGCCAGTATTAAGGGGGACAGCCTTTTGCCGTGCCTTTGGAACCGCCGGTTTTTTGCTCGGGGGGAGCATGTTGGTTGTGCTTCGGAATCCGGCAATACTTGTGGAAGCCCATATTGGCCCATCTGTGCGAGCAGGTTGCCTCAAGAGTGCAGAGAGTAGTGGTTGCTGCGCACATGCTTAGGGCCCAGGGTGTGGAGATCAGGCACTCAGCATATCTCAGTATTCTGTGCAAAGTTCCGTCGATGAGCCTGGGCGGAATGCTACTTATAAATATGACTGCCTGCGGCAATGCCGACAAACCAACAAATACGGCCCCGAGGCGTTATAGATACTATGAGTAGTACTACTACAGTGGTACTAGAAGTACGAGGATTAGGATGAAGGAAAGCAAGAGCATAAGCAAGAACAAGCAGAACACAAACAAATGCACAGCGGAAAAGCACGAGAGCACAGCAGCGGACAAGCAGAGAAGCAGAAAAGCAAAAGCAGAAGCAAAAACCAAGGAGAAAAGGAGAAGCAAACACCGGCAGGAGGATGAGAAGCGGAAAAGCACAAGCGCGGAAGCAGACAATGACAGCTTGTGCTCGGAAGTGAGGAAGCGCAGAAGCACATAGAAGCACAAAAGCGGACGAGACCCCCCCTCACAGGGGCAAAAAAAATCCCACAAAAAATGGCACTCCGAGAAAATCAAAGCAATGATAATGTCTTAAACATCAATATCGCAATCACTATCACCAAGGGCTACTCCTGCTTCTGTTCTGAAGGCTGTCTTAGTGCCAAATTTAATTGTAGGGTTCGTCTAGGGTCCTTTCTCAGGGCACCCTGGACCCCAAAACTTTAAACGGCTAATCTGGCATCCCCCCATCCTGGCGGTGGGTGCACATATTTGTAGGTTTGCACATAATTACAAATAGCACTGTGATTAGGTTACTTCCGATCCCAGCAGGCGGAGCCCAAGTCTCCACCGCCTCGGCGAGCCTTGGAGCCCGACAGCCCATCGCCTGCCCGGGTGCCAAGAAGTGCTCTGAGGCTCACCGCAGCCACAGTCATGCGGATGCAGATGGCGGCTGTGGAATAAACTAGAGTACTTCGATTGCTGAGCATGTATGTGTCCATCAGTATGACCACAAATTTCTTTCTGCTAGAAGGACCACAAGCCTAAGCGACGCAACGTGTGAGCAGATTGCCTGCAATCGACTCAGGGGAAAAAGCCGGGATTCGTCAGGCCTGGCTTGCTCCAAGAAGCACTGTACATGCTGCGTTGCCGGCCATAAGCTTTCAAGTACCTAGCTTTCGAGCATTTTGATGGACAGAATAAGAGCTAACCTGTTCGCACCACTATCTTGGGCTTGCCGTGCCTGAGGGTAAGCAAACGATTGGACCTGTACTTTGCCACAGCGCAAGATCATATCGTCACATACTCTTGCACAGTACTCTCCAGAGGAGACTCAAGCACCAAGAGGGCGTACTGCGATCGGACTCTTCAACAGCCTGCCGTGCTACCGAGTCCAAAGTATCGAACGAGCGTCTTTTGTTTAAGAATGATAGTAAGCAGCCCCCCAGCGCCCAACTCTGAACCGGAGATCCCTCACTGTAATCTCCCGACCGCCAGGGGCGCTCGTGTTCGGATTCTGTCCAACAACGACAACAGGGGCGAGCCAGGGGCCGAGGGGTAGGAAAGCAACAGTAAATATTGCCGCAGTACGTGCATGTTTCTGTAGTTTTGCGGCAACCTATAGTAGGCACCAAATTATGCAACCGAGACTCGTAAAGTAAACACGCACACCGAGTCAAAACGCAAGGAATCCCAAAACACATTGAGGCGGCGACGCACGAGATTACTATGGGAGCCCTCCATGGTACATATTATGCATACATGCAGCTCCTTGTTTTTGTTTGTGTTTTGTCTAGTCTTAGCCGTCCTAGCTTCCCAAATGCGATCTTCTTCCTGTTACATCATTGTTGTGTATATCACCAGGTCTCACGCGCGGCACGCACCCACCAAGGATGTATGCACGAACTGTGTGGCTCGTGACAAGGCGTTATATGCACGGTGTAGAAGTTGAACTAGGGTTTGTCGGGTTCTCTCGTATGTGACCATGTACCACGCATGTCCTACAAAATCCTGGTACATTCTCCAATGGTATTGATCTCTAATCCCTTGCAGCCTTACGTGGGCATCCAAGATGAGGAATCTTACCCTCGTTTTGGGAATTTAGGATTTGGTGGATATGAACCAGGCAATGAACGTTGAACCTTAAATCGTTGTTGGGTTTCATTCGGGCTGATGGATTTCGGGCTCAGCGTGTGGGCTAATTCAGAGCCCCGGGTTCAGCGTGACTGACATGAAGAGACGGCTTCATGGAGCCTTAGTGCATCAGTGCACACCCCATGGAGTGCAATAGGCCTGTTGAATTCAACAATGAAGATTGAAGATCTCACAGTTTTTTTCCCAGGCATTTTCAGTCTTCAATCCGACAACCCTGTTGAACTCAATAGGCCTCACAAGTGGATTGAACTTCAACACTCGGGATGCATCGGGACTGTTCTCATTGCCCTAAACACGTGCGCAAGCATGTACTCCAGCATTTGTTGTATTGTTGTAGTTTTGCATGTTTTGCATACATACTATAGGGCTCAGAGTATACACATACACACATACAGAGTAGTCCTTTAGACTGGTAGATAAGTGAGAGGGTCAGGGGCACAATACACCGGATTTACAGCAAACCTGGTGGATAACGCGGAGCCTGAGGGGGAGGGAATATACACATTTCTATATATGTATATGCGTGTGTATACACGTATGTAAATATGTAAGTAAGTATGCATGCATGCATACATACATATATATATATACACACACACATGTATATGGTGATCGATGTCTGCGGTCAGGTCGAAGCCAGTTATGAATGGTTATGAATGCGCAACCATCTGTCCATATACCTATCCGTGCATGTATCTGTCTGCCTAACCATTTTGCATGTGTCCGTCTGTCCGTCTATCTGTATGCCATCTGTCTATCTATCTATCTATCTATCTACCTACCTACTTATCCAGCTGGCTAGCTGGCTAGCTAGCTAGCTATCTATCTATCTATCTATCTATCTATCTACACGCACGACCAAACAACTCACGAGTGCGCACTTACGCGCGTACTCGTGCACAACCCCCCCTTCTGCAAGCGCCTTAGTTTCGGAATCCTCATTCTCATCCTCATTCAGGAGGACGGAGAATGAATCAGGAGTCTACAATCCTAGTGTGCAGTCATGTATGGTTGTAGGTTTGCTTCACTGAAGTCATTGAAGCATGCGCGACGCTCAGGACAGGAATCCTTGGCCAGTACGACATGGACAAAGATCTGTGGGAGGTGGGGGTGTGGCGCGCGGGGCTGGTAGAGTGCTGCCAAGTGTTGACCCTGCGCCCTGCTACTTTTGTTACAAACCCTATATACTCTTAGTATCTCTTCATATGATTCTGGATGGGCGCAGGTCACCGGAGAATTTGGCACTGAGTGGCTCATCGCTCAGACCTGCCCCAACTGCAGGCTTGCTGACCCCAGTGTACTTCAGATGTGTAGATCCAGAGAAACGAGGAGAAGCTCTGCCTCTGAAAGATCAAAGACAACAGAAGACCCCTACCGAAAGCTTACCGGACTTGTTGCGTCCATGACAGGGACATTCGACGAGGTGTCATGTTGTCACAGGCAGCTCCCAGCTCTGTTGCCACTGTTGAAGCCGCTTTTCAAACAAGCTTGACGGCCCGGGCCAAGCTGTTCCCAGAATGCCTTGGCACCGAGGTTTGACTCGGACAGCCTTGCGTCAGGCTCTCAGGAAGAGGACAACATAGCTTGAGAGTTGTTGGGTTTAGGGCTTTCTGCTGGAGGTTTAGGCCAACAGTCTAGCTGCAGTGGGGCTACGTGCCAGAGCCGCTGCTACTCAGGTTCTTCGTGGCCAAGCGACCCGGCCAGGTCTACTTGGAGGATGAGGCTGTATGGCAGAGATGGGTATCGGGCCAAGAGCCCGAAGCCCCCAACCGGCCCTGTCTGCACACGCGACCCCGCAGGACTGAGAATCGACAAATGTACAGGCGCCGTCCAGCGGCAGTCAAGGCCTTTGCTGGGGTCTCGGCAGCTGAAAACAGTCCCGAACCATCGTCGCTTGTGTTGAGCTGGGTGTATGTCCACTTCTCGAATTGAAGCACGATCCATCTGCTACCTCGACTTCGCATCAAGGATTTCGCCCTGCTGATCGCTGCTTGGGGCGCTGTTCCACGCGACTCCAGACTCCAGATGTTGCTGTCGGCAACGTCCGATGCTGGCGCGTGCCATGTGATACATTCATGTGCTGAAGAGGATATCAGCTGGAAGACAAAGCTGCTCGCTGTGGCAGCAGGAAACGGACACACGTGGATTAGAGTGATTAGAGCGAACTAGCTCATGATGTTAACATCGAAGTGGCTCCAGCATCATGGTGTACTCTTTCGAAAGAAGTTGCTGGATAGCTTGCTGTTACCATGCCGCCAAGCCACGTCGTTCTCCTAAGTCGTGAGCTGTCAGATATAAAGGCAAGCACATCTGAGGTAAAATCGTGAACATACTATTGATGTCTCATGCAGCGATTGCTGCTAATTATCATTGTCGTACCAGTCGTACCCATATTGCAAGCGGTAAGAACAAGAAGCGCAATGCAGCCAGGAAGATATCAATGCAACCTCAGCAAAGGCTGCTACAATGAGGTAAAATCAGAAACGAACTAAGTTTCTACTCAGACATTGACCATTATGCATACGGTGATCATAGCAATCAGGGTAGTCGTTGCAGCGATGCCATCAACTCATAGCGAGAACGGCAACGCCAAGAAATTCAAGATAGTGTGAGATACAAAAACAACTCGCAATACAACGTGCCTGCCTGCCTATCTACCCATGTATCCGTCCATCCCTCCATCCATCCATACATCCACCCACCTAGCTATGTATCTGTCTGTCTGTCTATCTATCTATCTCTCCACCCAGAAAGGTAGATAGACAACCAGCTAGGGAGCTCGCTTGCTAGCCATCCACAGATCTGTCGGTCTATTTATTTGGCTACCTATCCATCTATCTGTCTATCTGCGCATCCATTCACCTATCCACGCTTTTACCTATCTGCCTTTACTATTCCATCCCTTCCCATCCCATGCGATGCTACTTTTTCTATCGTCTCTGTCTGTCTGTCCGTCTGTCTGTCTGTCTGTCTGTCTGTCTGTCTATCTGTCTATCTGTCTATCTGTCTATCTGTCTATCTGTCTGTCTATCTGTGTATCTACCTTACTACCGGCCTGCCTATCTAGCTATCTATCTATCTTTCTATGCATCTATCTGTCTATCCATCCGTCTGTCCATCTCTCTCTGTCCATCTATCTGCAAGCGTACCTATCATGCATCTGTGTAGCCATATGGTACTAAGTTACAACCCTCCATCGGAGGAGGCACTAAGTCAGTGAGTCTTGGAGCGCTTGTTGTCTTCGAGCCGACTTCTCCTCTTCAGCTGTACAACTGCACATTAAATCAGCCGTGGATTTCCGAGCGCACCTCTACAGGAGCTTCCCAAAAGAAAGGCACCCCCTGATATCCGAACTCGTAAACCCTTCAGAGCACCAGCACCTTGGTTTCGTGGCCTGTCGGTGCCGGAGAGCCAGAGCGTCTGAATTCGTTTAAAGTGCAGGATGACCCCCACCTGCCAAGAAAAAGAGGGGTTCAGGGCCGCCACCTGATGTTCGGATTTATGCGCCGCGGCACTGCTGGAGCAGAACATGCGGATTGCGCTGGATCAAGATCACGTCCCGAAAAGAACACTTTAACCTGAAATTTACACCTCTGACCGGCGAAGGTAGATCCGTAGACTGGCACACTAGAAACCCCTGCAAATCCTCAAGCCCATAGCTGTGCTGAATCTTTTCACCTGGCCCTTTGATGCCATGGGAATGGGGGCGTCTGTGCGGCGTGAGCCCAAACCGGCTGCTCAGGACATCTCTGTGCAAACATGGCTGCCTCGCATTGTGGACAGAGTAGCCATAAACATCTGAGAGGCCTGCATGCTAGCCGCCCTCTTTTGCAGGAGTTGGCTCGCGATCAGAGCGGTCAGGCAGACTCCGGGATACATCAACAGGCCCGAGAAGCGTCGGAATCGACATGTCGCGTTGGCTAAGCGGCTAAACCATGATCTTGTCCTTGCAGCCCGATGAGCCTCCGGTCGCCGACAAGCCTGCCGCAGCCGAAGCAGAGAAGGTTCACTGAATTGGTGCAGTTGGGATGGAGCTAGTACTCTTTGCCGCTTTTGCTGAAGATTGAAATCGGTGATAGTGACAGCTACGGTGATAGCGACGGTGGCTGTAGCAGCAGCAGCAGCAGCATGACAAGAAGCAATCAGCAGTAGCGTGAACCCATGCGGCACTTATTATATAGTCATGAGGAGCACGGCAAGCACTTGGACGCCTCTTTGGCGTCACCGCGAAACTGCTGCCACTACTTCTGCTTCTGCTACCATTGCTACTGCTCGACCACGACTCCGACCACGACTACTTTTTTGTTGCTGTGTGCGAGAGGCTGTGCGAGAGACATAGATGCCAGGAGACCGGAGTTCAGACGAGCACCGCTTCGCCGGCCCCGGAACCACAAGAGGTGGTACAGGCCAGCTTCATTTTGGACGGCACTGTTTCGGATTCCCGGGTCGACCGAGATGATTGATTAGCAGATTAGATCAGATTAGCACAGATCGCAGGTGGCACCGGAGCCCGCCGTCAGCGCAGAGCCGGCAGCTGGGGCAGGCCTTAAGCTCAGGAAGAGACAGGCTGCGGCTGCCGAGATCTGAAGTCCTGTACGCAGAGGAGCCGCAGCCTCCAGTGCGCTGGCCAAAGCCGTGGAGGCATGCCTCGATCTTTTCGCCACTCTCCCGGCTTTTGTCATTGCAGACACGCGGCCAGGCAGAAAATTGGGCCGAAGCAGAGCAGCTCCTCAACGAGAGGACCCAGGGAAGCTGCGTTCATATGGAACTGCAGTTTCCTAACCTAGCTTGTGGCCGGTGCATATGTCAGCACTCATCCTGACCTCGGTCAGGCCAGAGGAGTGCGATGTGAATGCGCCGGGGCCTTGGCGCATCCTCTAGGCATCCAGGCCGTCCAGGAGTTTCACCCTCCTTGGAGCAAGATTGAGAATGATTACCTCAAGAACATTCCCCAAGACCTAGGGGGCAGTTCGGACGGATTGCTTGTCTTAAAAGCAGGCGGACTGCCGACTGGAACTACAGCTTGCTGCGCGCTCGCCTCAAGGTTTCGGAGGAGGGCACATCGAAGCTCACCGCTCTTTTTCATCTCGTGCCCAAACCCCCAGCCCCCAGCCCCCAGTCTTATGATCCTCGAGATTCTGAAAGGTGCCTCGGCAGAAGAGGGAGCCGAGAGTGTTTGCCGGCTCCTGCTTGCGAAGCAGGTCCGGACCCAAGCTTTCAACGGAGCACTTGGTTTGGGAAGGCCATCGACTAAACAAGCTCCATCTGCAAGATTATGCAAAGGGTGCTTGGTAGCTGTGCCAAGGAAGATGGTGTTGTGGTAGCATGAAATCGAAACAACAGAAACTTCAAGACTGAACCAGGCTGTGAGATACGTTGTTTCCTCAATCCATTGACAGACTTGATGAGCGCCCAAGCAGAACAAGCATGTATTCGGTCCAAGGCTGATGTGAATGCCAGAGACCAGAACAACATGACGCCCCTGATGGGCTGCGTGGTGGGAGGTAGCGATGACAGAGATTGCAAGAGGCGTCAGGAGGCCGACTGACACTCCGACTGCAGAGGTGACTTCAGTGGCATTGTCTCGCTACTCCTGGAGGTAGCGGAGTGTCCGTCGATTATGCTTCCAGCATCATGGCACACCGGCTCTCGTTTCGCTTGTCCAGGCACGTGCCGATGCTGCGGCCGTCACCGATGATGGCGGAAAGCTTAACTCTTGGGATGGCAGATTTGTCGTTTTTGAAAGGTGCTCCCTTTGTTTCAAGTTACATGCGCCGTATTTCTAAATAGACTTGATGGAGTTTGGGAAACTTGAGAATTCCCCTTATGACACCCAAACAAAAGATAGCTAGTGGGCCCAGCATTCAAAGCCCACAGAGTGATTGAGTGTTCTGCCAGTCTCACCTTGAGGCTTCACTGCTCTGAAATGGGCAACCCGGCCCGGGCCTCAGGCGGCTAAGGCACTGCTTGAGGAGCAAGGGTGACGATGCTTGGGATCGTGCACGAAGATCGTGCACGAAGCATGGAGGATGGTCAATTTCACACGACTGAACTTGGACAGAACTGCTCATGTTGAATTCCATGCTGATGCAAAACCCGACTACGACATCTGCTGCCGCTGATTACGGCCACTGCTGCTGTTAGTCCTGGTGTGTGGGCTTGTGCCTGGTTTGATCGTTTTTGCCTTAGCAGGCAGCAGCATCTCGCATGACGAATTCTATACAAAGGTATTCCTCTCGCATGCTGTGCGACGACAGGTTGAACCGGGAAGCCACCATAGCATTGCTGCGAGACGCTGGCATGCCTGTGCCCAAGTCGTGCAGAGCACGAATAATGTCAATGTGCTGTGGCTCTGCTCTGTAGTGAATCTCCCTCAGAGTTAGCGAAGCCTCTAAGTTTGCCGCTTGTGTGAGCGCGGCTCAGTGAAGCGAGCAGGGTGCGGCTCGGGTGGGGTGCGGCTTTCTGCTTTTCGTTCTTCTTGTGTCTTCCCGCGCTCTCAGGACCGGTGAAGACTCTGCCTTTGCCTAGAGGCTTCCCGTGAGCTCCAGGCTGTGGAGCTGTTGACTAAGACTTAAGTAGGCAGGGGGCGCCTTGACTTTTAGCAGGCGTGACCGTTTCACTTCCGTGTACACAGCACACTCCCGTTTGGAATCTCGTTTCATGGAGCTCGCCAACAGCGTGGGCACGCACATTTGAACCCTCGTGCTAAACAGCATCCCAATCCCATGCCAGATGCAGTGCAGAACCAGATCAAGGCCCACTACAACTTAAATTCTATTGACGGTCCGATGCAGAGTCCAACAGAGTCTAATGAGGTTTATTGCAATTCATAATGGATTTTCACCGCTACCATCGGTTCAAGTCCATGTCTACAATGACCGAACCACCCTCAATGGCAGCGCGCTCAATCGGTGTCCAGTGGTCTTGTGAGACGAAATCGCCATCCATGCATGCTTGAATTCAGTGCTTGGACTTTAGAGATTGTCTGGTGGACTGGAGCAGGGTCTCGAATCAACCACCTGGCTTGCCAAGGAAACCCACGATGTACTTTGGTAAGCCCTTGTGCAAGGCGTCTCACTCGGGCACCGTTGCGAGATCACTGCATCAGCGTTTGACACCATCGGCCGTGAGACGAGGCCTCCTTGTCCCTGCTTCTGACGTCACTTGCAAAGCGCCCAAGGAGCTTTCTTGTCATGTCAGTCGCTTTCAGTCGGTTCAATTGCCTCTCAGCTCAGGCCCAGGCCTCATCGACTGCGCAGTTGCGACCCAAGTCATTCGGCCTCCCCAAGCGGCTTCTGCCGAAACTGCTGCAAGACTGAGGCCTAAGGATTCATTGGACTTCTGGAGCACTGCCACGCTCTAAGGATTCACAGAGCTTTGGGGCCGTGACAGCATCGGGTCACCGGTTCTCTGTCAGGCAGAAGTCTCCGAGAATGATGGTGGTGTGAAGCACTCGAAGGGCCCAGGGTCGTGTCTTGACGGGGCAGCACATGACAGAGTCTGAGTGCTCAGGTCGAAGCACTGTGCGGTTCCAAGGGCCTTCTACAGCCTGGAAGTGTTGTAGCAAGCGGTTTGGGTTGTATGTGTGGGGACTATGAAAAGACTGGTCCCGTGCCATGGATCAGAAGATTATGAACTTGACAAAGCAAATGGAATGCACTGCAGCCTGCATCATCTAAGATGCGGCACGCAACTGCCAATGCAATAGCGCTTTGCTCGGCATCAGGTGTGACATGTCCTTTCTTCAAACTGGGCAGACACCTCAGATGCAGAGACTTTGGCATGACACATGTATCCGTAGCCGTGGCCTGCAGTCTTCTCCACAGCACAACCTCGAATCCCGAGCCCTCGCAGGCTTCGCACGGAGAGCACTGCGCTGAGCAGCATTTTGCAAGGCCTCTTGTCGTCTGCTGAACGTGATCCAAGTCCACTGCTCTTGCTTACTGCATCTTACTTAGTGCAGGAAAACCTCCCCATGCAGATGCAGAAGCAGAAGACCCGGCCACGCAGGAAGTGCTCGGATGCGGGTTCGGCTTCCCTGCGCTCCACAGGCCGCAGAGACGTCCGGCCTTCCCCTCTCCTTCCTTCAGGCGTGGGGGCGAAGTGCGAAGGGTGGGCCAAGGTGGGCCATATATTCCTTGGCGAACCTTCGCAGGTCGATGAGTGGGTGGAAGAGGTGCAGCGCCCAATGTCATGTACCTTCGCGAACTCACAGCTTGGCGAATCTTCTAGACCAGCTGCACCATAGGGCGGTCAGGTCCTGCGGGCCTGCGGGTAGCGGAATCTCCTGTGAAGCCTCAATCTGGCTGCATGTTGAGAACACAACCTGGACCTAGACATGTAGACTCCGCGAGGCACCTTGAGACACGTCAGCGTACCACAGTCTAGGACGCTACATTCCCTGGCATCTTTGCCCAACGGCCTGGCAGCTGAGGTCCAGACAGAGAGAGCAGGCGCCACATCTGAAGAAACGGGGCCTCTCAAAATCAAAAATCCTCGTTCCTTCGCAGCGTCGCAGGTGAGGGCTTCGTCCTCCACAGGGACTTGGAATCCCGAGGCCGGTCGGCCGCCTGAAGTCCCTGACCTCTCTGAGTCTCTCCGGAACAGGTACGGGTTTCGTTCTGAAGGCAAACGCCGTGAGTAAACAAACGGCAGGCTGGGCGAGCGGCGAGAGTAAAGTTGGCTCGGCACTGCCTGAAGTCTCGCTCTCGCTCTCTCTGTCTTTGTGCGAGCTGGACTGCGCGACACAACTCTGCTGCTGTTGCGTGTGTTTTGCAGCATCTGCTCCCGTGCAGACGAAAAGCTTCCTATGAGCTTGCACGAGTCCGCTGCCTACTTTGGGCTTGGACTTGTAATCCCCCTTATCCTTTACATGTGCTTAAGCGGAGTGAGGTGCATGTTTGTGCATCCCCTGATATATTAAGGTTGCGAATCCTCCTCCTCGTGCTGAAGTTTCTACTCGCCCTCGCTGTGGTTGTTCAGGCACGTGATCGCTAGTGAATCAATTCAATCTTCAAAGTATCGGTATGTACATGTCAGCAAGCAGGTGGATGAGTGAGCGAGCAACTTGAAAGATCGATACGAACGCAGGTCGGTAAACAAGCAAGTGCAGCAAATTACGGTAGTAAGTAAATGAAGGCACCAGTGTCCCGGAAGTTCCATGTGAACCCTGCATACGCACATCCACGCGCACGCACGACTACACAGGTACACGGACATCTATCCATCTACGTATGTATGTATGTCTGTATGTAAGCATGTATGTATGTACGTACGTACGTATGTATGTATGTATGTATGTATGTATATGTATGTATCTATTTATCTATCAATGTATCTATCTACACGCCTACAATAGCTATCTGTCTAGATATACACACGCACATATATGTATGTATATATATATATATGTATATGTATATGTATATGTATATGTATATGTGTATGTGTATGTGTATGTGTATTTGTATGT